TTCCTGCTCAAAACATCCACTGGTTGTAGACGTTTATGGTTTCAATTCCAATTTACCAAAATAACTATGGCAATTGCCTTAAATATAAGCAGATATTACAGACTGGGCATCACCAATTACAGAAACCTATGTACTTTACGTCCACACTGTGTATTAGTAACGTCCAAATATTGTTAATTTACAGAAATAACGGCTGTGTGCAACTGTTCTGATCAGTGTTCAAAAACATACACAGTTCCTAGGCGGAAAAAAATAAATGAATTGGTTAGATTGAACAGACACAGGGGCAGTAAGGGACCATAGGCTTCCTGCAACCTATAAAACAAAACTGAACAGAATCACTTTGACATTTTAAGGCTTTATATTTCAGTAAAAGACTGTACAGTATAGCTTCAGTCAAATCTAGCGTTGTATTATTTACCACAGGTAAACTGCTGTATTTACCATGGACAAAGTAACAATTTGATACACACTATATTCAAACTCTGGGCCATTATTGGAGCTTTTGTTTAAATTGTTCTGTTTTGAGTTTAGTGTACTGATTTACATATTTCAGAGAAGTGTATGAACGGCCGATAGTTTATCTTTATGACTTACCTCGACCTTCTTTCACTCAAACAATAGCTTGTTCCTGACTTGTGTATCAGGCCTTACCTGTTCTTATTTATGTCCTTTCGTAATTTGTATAGTGAACGGCCTGCCCACACTTTGTTTGGTTTTGAAAAGTCCAAGTATGTGGAAAATGAAAAGCACGAGCGGCACGTGGCTATAAGATCGTAGCCGGGTAAGACGATGTTCGCTTGTGTGATATGTGTTCCTAAACGACTCATGTGAGAAACAGTTGGCTAAGGACAGGACTGAGGTCAGTCTTTTAAAAAATGTGTGTTTTAGTTAGGGCTAGTCAAATTAACGCTTGTGTTTTGAAAGTTTGTTACTCACTGGCACCGGATACCAGTGATGTCACAGTTGAAACGGCTCCTGGAAGCAGCGTTTTGAACACTCTGTGAAGGGAATACTGTCGGTAAAATACAGTTACATGTGTTTAAGTTTTTTCAAACCAAACAAGTCCTGACCAGTTCAACATTTTTAGATTCAAACTTTTAGATTTTTGTCTCCTCAAGTTTTTTTTTTTTTTTTTAAATTACATGGTGGTTTAGTGAAAACACACTGAAAACAAACAGTCTTAACGAACAGAATGTCTACAAGTGCTCTTCTGTTTCATAACCGCCCAGGACTGAGAGTCAACATGACACGATGACGTGTATAATAGACACCGTAAAGGATAGATAATATTCATCAGTTGTTTTTGTTCCAAACTAATAGTGGCATCACTTTCTTAAATGTTTGTCTTAGCACTAATGTAATATAAACACATTTTTAAGCATGTAGACCATGTGCTTTGCAGGTAAATTCCATATAGACCTTAACAGTATGTCAACCTTGAACAGGAATGGTGCGGCATATTTAAATACATCACTTTATAATGAGCTGTAGCTACAGTATATCCTACACAGTTCTCATTTAAATTCAACTAAAAGGGACTTGTCACTTAATGAGGTTCTCCCTCTTTTGAACTAGACCCAGCCCCTAGTAGCATTAATGGTCGTGACAAAAAAACAAGGGAAAAGTATGTAGTCTCTCTGTCTCCCTCTCTTTTTCGGTCACTCTGTCAAACACACACACACACACACACACAAATATGTAGCCCCTCCTCCATACCAGTCAGGCAGGATTGTGACAGGTGAGAGCATGTGAAGATCAGGTTTTCTCATCTACAGACATTTTTCACTTGGCTGAGGTTGTTTGTAAGGACATGGCGTCTAATATACAATACATAGATTTTGATTTCATATTGTCACACTATATGTAAGTATGCAAGATATTTACTCAGTATTTGTTTGTACTTTGTTTCCAGAAACCAGGCATGGAGGAGTTAACAATATGGGAGCAGCACACAATTACACTGACCAAAGTAAGTGGCCCAATAATAATAAGTTATTTTGTTGTTGTGGTTTTTGGGGATTACTTTTGCCACCTAAGTCAAATTAGTATCTGTTTGAGTTTGCATTTTAATTGATGAGCACTGTGACTGGTACCATTTTTGTATTTTACTTTCAAAGTGTGCACCAAATTGTATGCACTGCATACATTTAAGCTGCAGGTACTCTGCCAACAGAGTGGCTCTACTTCTGTAGGTTATTGTCTACTATATATTTGTACTGTTCATACAACAAGGGCTAGAAGGTCTTGGCCCGTTCATCGTCCTTCTTATACTAAGATAAACTTGTCATTAAAAAGCACTTATCCTTAGCAAATTAGTGCACAGTGCAACACAGGCTGTTCATAATCTTAGGCAAAAGGTGAGCCTTTGTTTGACACACAGGCAGTAAAAGTATTGTTTCCAGGTATTGTGCAGTATTTTTGCAGTTGGAGCATGACCATGCTCGAGATCTCAGTTTCACAGCACAGACACAGTAGGAATTAAAAGTGACACGCCCTGCTGCACCTCACAGCACTTGCTGTTAATTTTGAAAACTGCTGGAATGTGCACCTTCGACCTCGTTCTGCATTACGTTTAGTCTTCTCCCCGCCCACTGCCTGAAATTTTCATCCTTTTTGTTCCTGTTTCAAATTAATAGAGAGTCTTTTACTGTATTGTTGAATTTCACCTAATTCTCTTTTGATGGCAGGATCCCAAGCTTGGGTTTGGGTTTGCCATATCAGGAGGAAAGGACAAGCCCCACCCAGACACTGGGGACACAGCTGTGGTGGTTTCAGACGTGCTGCCAAATGGACCAGCCATGGGACGACTCTTGTAAGTTCAACAGAGTTTTTTTGAAACACTGTCCTCGTTGATTTTTGGTTTTTGTTTTCAATTTATGAACACAAACCAAACCAGAGTTTTTTGTGCTTCTATCCAGCAACAAGGATCAGATTGTGATGGTGAACGGGACGTCCATGGAAAATATCCACTCTAACTTTACTATTCAAATCCTGAAATCATGCGGCAAGACAGCAAATGTTGTAAGTACTGAAACAAAACTTTCAGATCGAAATCTATGATGTCTTTATGTTTGCGTGTGATCAAACCGTGGCTTTTACCATTGTTTTCCTCCAGACTGTGAAGCGTCCCCGAAAGATCCAGATCCCAGCCACCACCAAACCGTCTCGAGCTGCCTCCCACTCCAACCTGCTGGACCCAGACCCTCCGAGACGGGCACGTCGATACTCTGACGGCAGTGACACCAGAAACACAAATCGTTACAGAGCACGCAGCGCGTCGCCAGAACGCAACGGGCACGGAAACACTCTACCTCTGATGTCATCAGGCTACAAGAGGCTTCCACAGCCGGATGTGGTAGACAGACCAATCAGGACTACTCTGGTGAAGAAAAAAATCACAGATGGTAAGTTGTAATTAGTTAGTTAGAGTTGATGTGCCAATATTTATTTTACTGTAAGGCGGCAGCTATTTATAAGGAAGTGAAGCGCATACCTGAAAGCTTTCGGGAAGTGCTGATTTCTGTCTGGTTTCTGATTTCTCTGTGTTTCTGCAGAGTATGGGCTTAAGCTGGGTAGTCAGATCTTTATCAAGCACATGACAGAAACAGGCCTGGCTGCAAAGGAAGGGACACTGCAGGAGGGAGACCTCATTCTCAAGGTAAAAACTGACTTCTTACATTTCAGCAGCTTCACAAAACCTGACCTTTTTTGATTAATATACAGATAAGAACCGAACTAAAATACTGACTACTTTTATTGTTGTGTACTTTTTTTTACAAAAAAAACGGACTGCATTTATTTCTATTACTGTAGTTGTAATTGTCAACTTGTTTGTCAGGTTTGTCTTTTTGACTCCTGTCCAATCCTCGTTTTTCAGTTGCTGTCTGTTATTGGGCCACTTCACTGATTTTCTTTTGTACTGCATTGACTCTGGCTTTAATTGGTCACTGGTTTGTTTAAATGTCTTTCTCATCTTGATCCATATTTCCTGTGACCAGATCAATGGCATGACAACAGAGAATCTATCCCTGCTGGAGACCAAGCACCTGGTGGAGAAGAGCAGGGGCAAACTGACCATGACGGTCCTGAGGGACAGCCGAAGATTTCTGGTCAGCATTCCAGAAGTAGAGGACAGTGCCCCTAATAGTGAAGAGGACAGACGTCGGGACAGCAGCTCAGAACTAGAGGGTGAGCAGAGTGAGAGGGGAGGGGGAAGGATGGTTGATTATAGTTAAAGATGTGATGTCAACATTTTTTAAAAATATATCAAATATGGAAGAATTGCTATTGATTTTTTTTTTTTTTCTGTACATGAACAGAGATTTCAGACATAGACGAAGACATCCCTGTTCACAGAACATCTCGTCAACCCAACAGAGAAAAACGAACACGCAGGTAAACAACAGTTAGTTTTAATTTGGAACTGTCTTGGTCTGTCTGATCATGGACTGTTTTTTTTTTTTCTTATTCTCTGTTCATCTGTCCTCTGAGCCAGTAACTCAGTTAATAAGTTGTCTTGGTCCAGTCAACATCATAAAAAAATGCGAAAATTAAATTCACATAATTCATGACACATGAGACTGTTTCTGGATGTAGTTTGTTTGGAAACGATGTATAATCGTATATTTTGTAATTTTGGGATCAGTGTGTAAAATCCAGCGTCTCTTCTGTTTTCCAGGACTAGAGCCGAACCTCCACCTCCTGTAAAATCTCGGGACTCATCACCCATGCGCTCCACCTTGAGCCGTCCTCCAGTCACGTCGTATGCTTCTCGCAGAGGTCAGTCCTGCAGAGAGTCTTTCTTAGACCAGGAACATGTATACCTTAGACAACACTAGTTTGCCTTCTTTGTCATGCCGCAAATTCCTTTTCTAGAGAAGAGGTAGACAGACAACACCACTGATTTTTGATGAGTCAAGATGTTACTATTGTTGCCATAATATAGATGTGATGTTTTTGCCACTGCTGACCCTCTCCTCTAAAATCACCATCTGTATTAAAGAAAAAAAAAAATCAAAACACTGTTTACTTTTGTCTCTTTAGTGCCATCTGAGTCTGAGTCTGACCACAGCACCTCTCCTCCTCCTCCTGTCAGGAGACAGACATTAGATAGAGACACCATTGACAGGAGGGAGCCGCACAGTAAACACAAGTCAGTTACAAGTCAAAGATGTTGTATTATAATATTTCAACCTCATTTGTTCCACTGTTTTTTCTGTTTATGTGTGTGTGACTCTCATGTTAATTTGAACTTGTATCAAAGATCCATTTTATTTATAAAGATAGATAATTATTTTACTTGAACGATGACTCAAAAGTGTTGTTTTGCAGTCATTAAGCTGCTTGTAATTTTTAGAAAATAATGTAATTTTAATATCTTTAATTCTGTTTTTTTTCCTGCTCTCTCAGAGCTCTCTCTGGGATGTCCACTCTCCCCTCTGGGATGTCCACCCTGCCCAACCCTCGCTCCTCTCCCGTACTCCAAAACTGGACCAGCTCTCGTCCATCATCTTCTGCCTCGAGGCCCCGCAGACCAGTCTCAGATTCAGACTCTGACCGCAGTGCTTCCCCTCCTCCAGCCAGGCAGAGCCCACACCTTGACAGTAGATACAAGTAAACACAAAGTTTTCCTTAACTTGGGTCCCAATAAGAAGCAAATAAGACATCTTTTGTAGGTTGGTGTAAAGTTATTGTTGATTTGTACATGGATTTTGTAGCATCATCAGTAACCGTATAAACCTCATTGAATAATGTTAGGTTTGATCTCAAAAACATATTAGACAATAAAGAAATCATAAATATCACAGAATGCCCTTTTGGCTCACTGATCTTTTTCTATTATTTTTGTCCGTCTCTCAGAGTTCTCCCAGATCTGCGTTCTCAAGGAATGAGAGCTTCTCCCATCACTGTTCGACAGGACGCACCGAGGAGAGTGAACTCACCCGTCAGAGTCCCACCACCAGGTGAGAGAAACCTTCAGCTCACCCAACCTCCCCCTCACACACATACACACAGGCACACACATGTCATCACAAAAAACACCCAACTCGCCCTTTAATGGCTGCATCCTGGACTTTTCTTTGACACCTCTTCAACATTACTTGGCTCAGGTTTAAGTGTTTGCTGAGGAGCAGGTGTCAAGAGTCGAATGGCTCAATGTATGTCTGCTATGTCTACTGATATATATATATATATATATAACTACTATTACAGTCATATTTGCCATGTAATGATACAACACAGAAGAAGGTCACAAATTCAAACCCCTCTTTTTTCTCTTCTCAGACTCTGAGTCTGAGTCAGAGGGCAGCTTGGTGCCTCCTCAGAGGCACAGCACCACCTACAGTCAAGACTCCCTCAGCAGATACAGGTACAGATGAAGGTCTCCCCCCAACCCTACTTCCCCTCCTGAAACCCAACAAGATCTGATTGGGTGGTGAATGAGCAGCATGCAAATAACTCTGACAATATTACCAATAGATATTCTTTTTTTCCGTTTTTTAAACTTTGAAGGTTTTCGTTATCCCTCTCACTTGTGGTCATGTTTGTTTACCGCTTTTATTTTGTTTTGCATCTTTTTTTTCTTTTTTTTAGTGTTTTCACTTTTATTGATGTGTGGTTTTTTTTTTTTTGTTTTTTTTTTTTTGTTATGGCTGTAAACCAAGCGTTTGTGTTGACGTTTGTTAATCATTGAAATAAATTTTACTCTCACTGAACATCTACCTCTGCTCTAAGTGTTGATTAAACAGTGGAAAGTAATCAACTTTCAATTTATTTATCCTAAACATGGCTGAAAAAAAAAGTTAAACAAGAGCACTAATAACCTTTGATCAGTCACAAAGCAGTACACCATCAAAGGGAGGGCTTCCCTCAGAGGTGTGAAGGTGAATATTCAACATTCTCTCAGCAATAATCATTATTGTACCCACAGCTCCCCCCGCTCAAGATATAACTGAGATATGTTGTCCTCCTCCCTCACTCCCACCTCCCTGTCTTGTCTTCCAGAGTCCTGCCTGCTGTTTCCCTGCAGCCACAGGTGGAGCCACCAAGGTGGAGCACTGCCAGCAGTCCACCTCCAAAAGGTGTGTGTAGGCATTTTTTGCAGATGACATCTTTTCTTCCTTTGCAGCCAGTCGTTTTTATTTTAATTTGTCAGTTGACACTGGTGTAAACCATTTGATGTAATGCTCTTACACCAATCTGATTTGCATGTAGTACAAGCATGTACCAAAGTACATAAAACTGTTGTATTATTAGCCTAAAACAAACATCTATTATTATAGTGTTCTCTCTGCACGACTCAAACGTACTGTACACATTCCATCTGCGGTTTCCTACAACCGCCTTTAATAAATGAATTAAATTGATTTGTAAATAGATTGACAAATGATGGCTTTAGAACTTACATTCTGTCCTTGTTATTTAAAGTACTTTGCTTAATTCACTGACTAAATAGTCAGCATTATGTCGCTAAACGACCGTCTGGTCTCTTCTTACAGCTCCATCAGAGTCGGGGTCAGAGCCCAGCTACACGTCTGTCCCTCGCAGAGAGTCGACAGGCAGTGACAACGTCAACACGGTCAACAACAGATACAAGTAAGGGTCATTTCTTTAATGACGTGGGTCAACCGTCACTCAGTTCAGCTTTGTCAAGTTCCTTAGAGGAGTTTGTATAAAACCGACATGAAAGTCACGGTTGTTAACATTAAAACAAACAAATATTTAAAATACATGGAAATGACATTCGAGTGCATATCTGTATGGATCAGCAAACAGTACACACACTACCAGAGAATAAATCTGCATTTGTAATATCAAAACAAATCGTTGTCTCAGAGAAATGTAACTCTGAAGTTACAGTTGTCTCATTTCTCAGCTGAACTCTATTTCCTTTGCTCTTCCCAGAGTCCTCCCTGTGACTAATTCCTCGAGAGTGGCTGTGAAGCAGGAGCCTCCAAAGTCTCCGCCCAGCAAACCACCTCCTGATGGTTAGCGTTTCTCCCATGTGTCACTTCTTATTTTATTTCCTTGACTTTTTCTCTAAGGAGCTATAAGGATAAATTTTAATATGTCCTCTCTATGTGTCCCCTCAGACTCCTCAGCATCAGATGACCTATCACATCTCAGGAGGTCCGGGAGTTCTGAGCGAGAAGAGAACCGCCGCAGGTACACAAGTGTCCACTATCACTGCATTTTACAAATAATTGTTAAAATATCAAACAATAATCATAATTAATGAGCTTTTCACCTACAGCATAGACACTGACATGATAGTTTCCTCATTTCCTTTTTGTCGTCTCTGTCAGGGTTCCAAAAGGTGCTAATGGAACTGGCACTGTCAAGTCAGGGATTTCAGTGAAGAACAACCCATCCCTCCATTGTAAGTCTATAAACTACCAATAATGTGTTGAGTCAACTGTTCAACTGTGTTTATTTTAATTTGTTATAACATTTGCCCACTTAGCGTTGTTGTGTCCTAGGTCTTATCTTATAATTTAAGTCAAATTATAACGTGTTTTATAATTTCTTTCTCCTCCAGCCAAGCCAGTAGAAGAACCAATCTACTCCTTACCGCCTGATTCTTACCCATCAGCTAATCCAGGGTGACTGATTTTTCCTATCCAAGGATTATATCCTGTAGATGAAATTTAAATAAATGATTTCACAATAATAATAAATCTCTTCCCATTTGCTTGTTTTTCTCTCTTGGCTGTGTGACTCCTTCAGGTACAGCTCAGATCTGCGCACGGTTAGTTTTGTGAAAGAGGGCAGTGTGGGTCTGAGGCTGGTGGGGGGCAATGATGTTGGCATCTTTGTGGGGGGAGTCCAGCCAAACAGCTCTGCATACGACCGGGGAATGAAGGAGGGAGATCAGATCATGCAGGTGAGGAAGGCAGATCATGTATACTTTTTCTTTGATTTGATTCTTTCTATTTTCGCATTTAAGCTTAACTAAAGATTATTTTAAATTAATATAATATCCTGCAATTTTCCACCAGTCATTGTAAAAAAAAAATATATATATATAGTAAAAAAACACACTTGTCTGTCTTTATTTTTAGGTGAATAAAATTGATTTCGGTCACTTCACACGAGAAGAAGCAGCCAACTTCCTCCTAAACATCAAAAATGGAGAACAAGTTGATATATGCACTCAGCACAAGATGGACAGTAAGTGTTCTCTGAAATTGACCGACTGGCGAACCACTGATTTTGCACCGTCCACGAACTTTTAAACCTTACTAAATGTTCTCTTCAGTTTACAAGAAGATCATCAAGTCCAACCTGGCAGATAACTTCTACATCCGAGCCCACTTTGACCATGAAGCAGATGGACCCATTGGTCTGAACTTCACCCGAGGAGAGGTGTTCAGGGTGGTGGACACCATGCACCGCGGCAAACTGGGCAACTGGTTAGCCATACGCATGGGAAACAACTTGCACGAGATGGATAAAGGCACTATCCCTAACCAGGCCAGGTCAGTTGGAGGTAAAAATACAAAATGCTACATGTGTTTTATGCAGCACTTATTTAACTCTGTCGCTGGTCTGCTGCAGGGCCGAGACGCTGGCAAGCATCGAACAGGCACAGCGAGCAACTGGAGAGCGACAGGTAACTGGACCAAGAGCCGAGTTCTGGAAATTACGGGGACTGAGAGGAAATAAAAAGAATGAAAAGAATGTTCGTAGGACCCGAGACGATCTGCTGCAGCTCACCATTCAAGGCAAATTCCCGGCCTACGAGAGAGTCCTGCTCAGAGAAGGTGCTTTTTCCTTCCTCACACGCAGATGTTGTCACATGGAAACATGTTCTTACACAGAAACTGGTGAAACTGGTTTTGATAATCCTGAACTGTTTGTGTCTTCAGCTAATTTCAAACGGCCTATTGTCATCTTGGGTCCTCTTAATGATATTGCCATGGAAAAGCTGGCCAGGGAGATGCCTGATGACTATGAAGTGGCAGGTTGGTTTCCTCTTTTTCTCCACTCTCCTGACTCTTTTTTTTTATTATTATTATGTAAAAATTCTGTAATTGCTCCTCTGATATTTTTGAATAATATCAGACATGGTCCCTCGCAGTGGAGGAGACAGTAGCTCGACAGTTATTAAACTGGATACTGTGAGAAGAATAGCGGAGAAGGTGAGCGCAAGTTTAACTGGGCATATGACAACAGAAAAAAAACTTTAGTTTTTTTTCACCCTTACACTGCTTTTACTCTGTTTTTTACTCGCCATCAGGACAAACACCCTCTCCTAGACATCACTCCCACTGCAGTTGAGAGACTCAACTACATCCAGTATCACCCCATGGTGCTGTTCCTGGACCCCCACAGTCGCAAAGACGTCAAGGCCATGAGGCAGAAGTACAGCCCCAACTCTAACAAGAGCTCCAGACGCCTCTACTCACAGGCTTTGAAGCTGAGGAAACACTACAGCCACCTGTTCTCAGGTGACGAAGAGACTGTTTCTGACAGATACCGATGTTTGTCTTCTCTATGGGGCAGTGGGGGCTTAGTGGTTAAGGAAGTGGACTTGGATCCGGAAGGTTTCAGGTTCCACTGAGGTGCTCTGAGCATGGCACCATCTCCACACACTGCTCCACCGTTCACTTTGGTGATGGGTTAAAAGCAGAGGTCACATTTGGTTGTGTGCCGTGACGTGTTGTGTCACAATGACAAGCAGTTCACTTTCCTTCCTTCCTTTATAACGTGTGTTTGGTTTTTTTCCCACTGCAGCGCGTATAGACTTGCAGCCTAACTCCCATATTTGGTATGAGACCGTAAAGGACAAGATTCGTCACCAGCAGTCCAAACCTGTCTGGGTGTCAGAGGTCACGGTATGACAAACTCTGAAAATGTTAACATTTATTCACCACAGAGACATTAACATTTTTTCTAATTAACAATGCTTCAATGGCATTTAAGAATACAGATTTAAACTTTTCAAAAAATTAAAAAAATATGTTTTATCTTTTTCTCAGTTAGTGAAACATCAATTGTTGTGTACCTCTGCAGTTGGAGAGTGGAGGAGAACAGGACCTGGATGCTCTGGACCAAACCCAGTCGGACTACCTCAGTGCTGCTAGTGACCTGGAGGACACTGACGGAGAGGCCTTCACTGATGGAGAGGCCTACACTGACAATGAGGATCTTGAAGAGGCCTATCCTGGTCAGGATGCAGCCAGGGCCTTACGGGGCTCCAGATTAGCAGGAGCTGCTTTGGCTCGATCATCTGAGCCAGCTTCTGAAAACCCTGCCTCCAACTCAGACCCTGAGTCTGAAGCCAATAGGTACGAAGTCAGAGAAATCCCTCCTCTGATGCACGTTCCTGAGCCCAGATCCAGCCGCCGGAACACATACAGCCCACCACAGAGTGACGCAGAGGAGGAGGAACAACCCTTTCATCGCAGTTTCACTGACTCCGATTTTAGCGCACTAGATGCAGCCAAGGCACCATCGGAAGGACCCCCGGACTTTGTTGCCCCTGACCCCAGGACTCGCTACTCTTACAACGAACCCTCGTATGCAGAGCCTGAGAGCCCACAGCAACCCAGCCTGTCTGCTATTGAAGAGAAATTACAACAGGTAAAAAACATCTTTTTTTTTACTTTACTTTATTCTTTTAACTTTTTAACTCCACCAAAAAAAGTTTTTATTTCAATGAAAACCAATGTTCTCTGTCTCTCCTCCAGGCTCGCTCAGCAGAGCCACAGGCAGAACCAGAGGAAAATAAAGGCCCGCAGTACATTGTGTAAGTCAACTATTTTACTGTAAAGGTCCATGGAAGCTACTAAACGTTTGTTTACACAACACTCTGGAGGTTAAAGATGTACTACATGTAAGTTATTGTAAACAATATAAAGTTGTCGTTCTGTTTGTCTACAATTGCCCACAAAGGCATTAGAAGTACAGTGTTCTGAAAAGGTCAGGATCGAAGTGGACAGGACGTTGACCTTTAACCTCTCTGTGTGATGACACTGACACAGCTACCACCCAATCATTTTAACTGAAAGCTGAAACTGTAAAACTCCCAACGACTGCTCTGTTCTGTTCAACAGGCTGGCACATCATCACCAAGCAGTCCAGTTCAGAAGAACACAGATCAGAGGAAGCGACAGCTCGGAGGATGAGGATGAGGATGAGGATGAAGACGGAGAAGCAGATGACATTGAATGGGGTCCTGCAACAGAACTTTAGGGTTGAAAAAAAAAAGTCCCAGAGATAGAGACAATTTCACCCCAAAAGAAACATTTGTCTTTTTTCTTCCACCACGATTCTGAAAACCACAATAAATAATAAATAACGTTTTCACGAATACATTGATCATAGTGCAGCTCAGGATAATGTTAGAATGTTATTAGTTTCATCCTTTAAAAAAACAACGACGAACGTGAAAGATCTCTGTTCAGCCCATATTTAAATAAGTCTCTGGGGAAAATTAGCTTCTCTTTTATAAAACACATTGTATTTCAAGACATTTGTAAGTTCAAATATTTTTCTAGGTAAACCTTTTTTTAAATAATTGTGTTCAACCATACAATAGATGTTTATTGTTTTTTTTTTACATAGCTCTAAATAGATAAGGCAAACTTTGATGATAACAAGCAGTCACATGGAGAACATCAAATGTTTTGTCTCTGTATTTAACATTGGAAATGTATGTGTACTTGCATGACACGAACTCTGTGGTGAGCCTCTAAGGCTAAAACAAACTTTTATTTTCACATGATTTTAATTGTACAGGAGAGAAAATCTCGATTTATATTGAATAAAAATAATGAATGTACTTATTTATTTTCATGTTCTCTCTGTAGTGTGGGGGGTTGAAATGGCTATAAACATAACTATCAAATAATTTATATAAATGTAAAAGTTATCACAAACTTATTTTGATATTGAATGTATAGTTTAGGGGGTAGTTTATGTCAAAACAAGTTGAAAAAGTAAAATGATGTTGGTGTACGTTACACATTTCTGCTGTTAAACATGGTTATGAAGTTAAGTCATAAGGTCAAACAAAGCTGTCTCCTTAGGGTTTTCTTGCATTTTACTTTGTCTTGTAACAGCAAAGGCCTTTTCATACCAACGGCTATTTAATCACCAATATCATTGACACGGTAATTAATACAATTTATGAAAAGGCAGGAAAAATTAACTTGGCTGCAAAGAGAGCTATAACCATACACTTCCAGCCTAGTACTTATTGTAATTTATAATTTATTATGTTATGATTGTACTGGTCCGGCCCACTAGACATGCTCTAAGGTAAGCATTTCTTTTATATTGTTTTAAAGGAAAAGTTATTAATGTTATTGCTGTAACTATTAGCCACTCGTGGGGTCTCCGTCTTGGGGGGAGTCATGGAAAGCCCCTGCTTTGCTGTTGCTACGCCTCTGATAGGTTCAGGTCGTGTGTGCCGCAGGTGGTTCTCTACGTTAACAGTTTTAGGTCACGTGGTAAAGAACACGCACGTGCGTCATAAGGAGTTGATGTTCAACGAGGGGATGTTGTTTGACTGGTGGACTTTTGTATACTGTTTACTGACACTGCGTGTACGTAAGATGAGGCCGGTGTGTGACTGTGATTAAAAACTCAAAACCTTCCAAAACTAAAACGTATTACTTCTCCTCCTCCTCCTCCTTCTGCTTCTTAACGACGCTCAGAGCGGATGCCGGCGGCGCAAACCGACTGTTTGCGGTGAAGCCGTGTGTGTGACAGCGTCAGTGAGTCTGCGCAGCTCAATGTGCGACAGCAGCAGCAGGAGGAAGACGGACAGATATCATCCGTGGCTGAGGGTCGGCTCTGATGGCACCGAGTTCCCGCAGAACTTGAGCGGCAGAACACATAAGTGGAGAGTTGGGGGGTGGGTTGGGGGCTTGTACGTCAAACTGAAAGAAGTCGGAATGGACGGTAAAGGAACGTTGAAGATGTTCACGCGGAAGAAGCGGGAACTGATAAAGACGCCGTCCATCTCGAAGAAGAGCCGAGCAGGAAGCCCCGGGCCCCAGAGTGGCGTTCAGTCTGTGAGTGAGACACCTTCACTTCTGCTTTTGCTTGTTTGTCTGTCTGCGTGTGTGTGAGAGATGGAATATTTAATATTTAAACACTAAATACTGAGTTTGTCAAAGTAGTGTAGTTCTCCTAAAGGTAGAACCTCATGTCTGAAGCTGAGAGACGAATGATGGGGCAGTTATATATAAGAAAAATAGATGGACGGATTCACTCAGTGTGTGTACGTGTCTTTGATGGGTTAGTGATAATCAGTGTTATTGTCGCATTAACAAGATGTTCTACCCTGACCTTCACCAGGCTGTAAAATAATCACCTTAACGGTTCTTAGACTGGGTTTCTAAACCATTGTAATATATTTGACACATTTACGAAAATTTAGACTATTAGACCTAATTTTAACTGTTCTTTCACATGTGTAAAAACAATGTTTAAGTAATGGAATATTGAATAATATTAATTATTTCTTGAAGAAAAGTAGAATTTTAAATTGTTTTTTTTTTTTTTTTTTTTTTGCCAAATTCTTAATTTTGCTGTAAGGAGACACAGGAAGGTGTTGAATATTTAGGTTTTGGCCCGACTGGTAATTGCCCAGCAGGGTATCTTGGCAAAGGGCAATTTAAGTGTTGTTGATTATTTTATTTTGCTGTTAGTTTGCTATTAATTGTCATTAATTGGCATGTGTCACAAGTCAGTGACATCATGTCGTCATGAAAAAAAAAAAAACAGTGGACGCCCATGGAACTGAAGAATATTTGTCAACAGCTGGGACCAGTGCTGCTGAGTTGTGAGGGAAGGTGAGGTGTTTTTTAATTTAAGGGCAATGTAGGTATTTGAATTTAAGAGTTTGTTGACCTGACTTGAAAAAATAAAAATTAGACACCGCTGGTCTTCTATTGCCTACCAGTAAGTCGTGTTCCGAATGCTTTTACTGTAGTCTGTAGCTCAAGTTAGTTTTACTGTAAAGTACACCTTAGTAAAACTTATCAAATCCATAATCTCTCTGTTAGAGGATAAAGGTTCAGATGATATTGTGTGTGTGTGTGGATGTCAGTGTGTATGGTTTTTAGCCATGAAGCAGTGATATGCGATACAGATTTTGCTCATCTAGTTATGACAGTTGTCCCCTGATGGTTAGTGTAAAATAGGGAGAATGCTGAAGCCTGGTGGAAAGACTAGCTACAGTCCATACTTGACCAGTCAGAGAGTTAGGAGAGTGGGTCTAAAAGGCAAGGACAGGCCGGACATACTGCACCAACAGCACAACGTTTGTCTCAAAAAGGTATGTCATTGGCAGCGGAGGTGTTGTCTTATCTCTTTTCACTCTTTTTTTTTTTTTTTTAATCAGTAGAGGCAGCTGTCTTTGGTCGGCTCTGTTATAAGTGTGAAATTAATTTAATTATTGAACAAATGTAACGGTGGTCCCCTCCCCCTGCGTCTCCTATCAGCCCCTTCAACTGTGGTGGTAATGTATTTCATCAAGAAATGTATTAGGAAAAAAATAATAACACAGTGTTAAACAAACACGTCTGCTCTCCTACGTCTAGATACTGTTATAAATAAGAATTAGTGCTAAATAATAAACAGACATGCTGATGAAACTGGTTTGTTACGCCTTGACTTGACTAGCCTCAAGTGAGGTCTGGCTTCCTGTTAGAAAATGATGTAGAAGAAAAGTAATGTTACATCACAGTTTGTTTTGAGACAAATGGGCAGGGAAATATTGTTTATTAATGATGGTAACAAAGTTTAGATTTAAGGAAGTAGTTCCACACCACATCACAAACCAGCTTCTTTTCTTTCGTCTTAAGTAAACACTAAAAAAAATTTTATGGCATGTGAGAAGAGGCAGGTCACAGTCATTTGAATTTTGGAAGTGACGGCACTTCACCTGTCTTTCTGTGTGCTTCATTTACAAAAATAAATATGATCAAGACCCAGTTTTGCTGGTAGCTGCTCGACACCTCGACAAATATGTTAATAAAAACCTGGTCGAGGCCGTTAGTCAGGCTTCTGAAATCTTTTAAAATAAGACAACCTGGTATTATCTGTGAAACACAAACCAAAAGAATATATAAAAGTTTATTGAATAATCTTTGGTTTTGTCGGCTCCTGTCATTAAAAATACAGACCTATATCATTTTAAAGTCTACATTTGTATAAATCTGTCTGTGTGTGTGTGTGTGTGTGTATACCCTCACACCCAGCAACAACTCGGAAGCAGGAAGTGTTACACAACTCAGGATCTTGTGAAAGTTTCTGAGTTTACGTTCACAGAAACGGAGGGTTTTTACACCAAACTCACACAGTTCTCGATGACTGGCCCTGGTCTTAGGTTTACTTCTTAACCATCCACTTTTACCCTACACTGTGGTGGAAGTCATACGACCATGTGGGAGTCAGTCTGTGCAGGGCTGTTCCGACTGTTTTGACACACGTTGGGCTACAGTATGACTTTTACTAAGAGCCAGTAACTCTCTAGACACTAACTTTTTTTTGTAGTTTTGTAAGCCTCCGCAGTAGCAGATTATACTAGGGATGGTATGATGCAACTTTTTTATGTCTGGCAATACTGATATCAATCCGATACTTTCTTTTCTCCTCCAGCATGGCGCAGGCTGCAGCTGCTGAGGCGATAGTCCCTGTTTACAGCATGTTGTAGATGTTTTTTTGGATGGTGGATTAACCAGTATCATAGCAATCCTACCAGATGGAATCATGGCCGTGGGTGCCATACCATAATCTGGCTTAGGGTGCCAAAATGGCTGAAGCCAGTGTTGACAAAGGCGGTGTCTTTTTACATGTGTTTATGTAAAATAACTTACGTACAATTTAAATAATTAAGCTTGTTTCTCTGCACTTGTCCTCTTCCTGTTTCAGTTGTCCATCCTTCAGGAGCAGCCTCGTAAAGACGCAGGAGATGTCACTCTTTCTTCCTCACCGTTGTCCTCATCTTTCTCCCCCACGGTCACTCCAACCTCTCTGGGACACCAGGACTCCTCTGCGTCACTCCTGTGCCCTGCTACGACGAGCGTTCAGCACAATAAGATGGCAGTGATAGCAGGGATGAGTTGCCCGTCTCCTGTGTCCACTCTGAAGAGACCGACTACACTGAGCAGACACGCCAGCGCTGCAGGTTTGATTCCCAGTCATCTTAGCACTGGACACTGTTTCATCCCAGTTTGAACACATCTCTGTGATTACTGTGTTTTATTTCATCAGGGTTCCCACTCCAGTCATGGGTGTTCACCAGAGGTCATGGGAAAGGGGCACTGACCCCATCGCCTCCGACTGAGAATCCAGAGAGCACCGCCATTGAGGTGGAAGACATCCCCGCTCTGCTGAGGGACGTGGCCCGGTTTGCAGAGGCGGTGGAGAAACTGAAGGATGTAGTTCTGACCGAAGGTAAGATTCTTCCTACATCATCGTGGAAAAGCTGGCACCGAGATTTCTGTGATGAATGAGGGAGAAACATCTCGATCACATGATCATAGGCCCGGTCAAATAAATAATAGTGATTTACAGCTGCACTGACACGGCTTTAAAAAAAGCAGTTCATGTTGTAGTAGCTTCATAAATGTGATTTCACAATAATATCAAAATCATGTTCAATGTTTTGTTGAAGTAATGGTTATAGTACTGATACCTATCATACTATTCCAGAGTTTTTTAGCAGCAGTTTTTGTAATACATTTTATTTTTTTGTAATAAATCTTTATTACAAATTTTGCTAACAGTGAAAGTATTTAATATATATAGTATATAATTATCTATATGTTTTTTACAACAATGTTTTTGCTCAAATGTAGTTGTTTAGTGTTGGCCACCTGTTTGATTTTTGAGGTATTTGGTTTTACTATTGTAGTATTTCTGACAAATCACGAAGCTACCTCCCCACAGGAAGAAACAAAGTGATGAGCTGTTAGAACTAGCACGGACTCCCTACTGTGGTTGAGACTCGTTGACTAATTTTTGATTGTACACAGATGAAACCTAAATGAGCTGGTGTCTGCAAAATAAAATCCCAACAATGTCAAACTCACATAATCATTTTTGAAAGTCATACATGTTCTGGGAGGGAAGCCCTGTTCCTACAAAGCTGGAATGATAACGAATGATAATGATCAGTTTTGAGCAGGGTAATAATCTGAAAAATTTGCTTTTTATTTCTCTATTTCTGTTCCTGTTGGAACTGAAAGACATTACAGCAGGTGTTCTAATTTCACATTATTATTAATGTACGGAAAAATGTCAGGAAACTATGCAAATAACTTACACTTAACACAAATGTAAATTTCTCTTCCTGGAGTTGGTAGATTTTAGTCATCACTGTGCCTCTTGAAGACAGCTTGTTAAAGGCTTCAGTGGAGCTGTTGTCCTCAACTGTATGACTCAGTCTCCAGTCTCTGGCATTCCATTAGATTAGTGTATCAGACAGATTGTCAGCTGTAGACTTGGTCAAGTCTGAAGTCTGACATGAAGCTGAAGCCTGGGTGTTGAGATGGCAGTTAAAGATCAAGCTGCTTCATAAACAAAAATCAACAACAAAATGTGTTTTTCTTCAACACTGTATTATAAGTTAAAGAATTAAGTCGGATAAACCCTCGTGATAAAATGAAGTTCCATTTCACTCGCACAACTGCACCTGTAATCAGCACTGCACTGTAAAGTTCTTCCTTTCAAAATAAGTTGACATTTCTGCACGGAGTCGACCGCACTCTTATCTCCCGCAGGAAGCTGGCCTTTTGTTACTACAGCCTCTGTACGACAGGTTCCTCCATCTGAATGATAACAAGGTCAAAATAGTATTTAGTAGTAGTAGTGGTATATTAACCAATTTAAAGTCCTGATGAAAAATGTCATCTTTTTAGAGAAGGACACCTGCTGAAATATGAAAAGTGTGAGTGTGTGTGAGTATAAAGCTGTAAAGATGATAAGGTGTGTGTTACAGCTACAGTACCAGGAAAAAAAGAGGTCCAATTATC